TAATCCAGATTCTTACCAGCAACAAGTCCAAAAGCCAGGGTCTGTCAGGGTATAGGGTTGTGTCAGTGCCCTTGGCAAATGTAACTTGCACTTCTGTTATGGCACCATTAATGCTGAAAAGTGCATAGAGATTTTGGAGCACAAAATTCTGCATTCTTTTCCAGAGAGACCTATGCATATTTCAACAAGACAATGCAAAACCACATGCAGCACACATTACAAAGTACTGGCTGCGGAAGAAGAGAATACAAATACTTGACTGGCCTGCCTGCAAACCCGAGCTGTCTCCAAAATGCTGAAAAAATTTAGCAGGGGGTCTATTAATTCAGGGGGCTGATAATTCATGAGAACATGCAAACTCCACACAGAAACGCCAACTGAGCCGAGCTCGAACTACCTACTGTGCCACTGCTTCGCCCCGATTTGCCGTATCACCTTGCTCTTTTTTTTTTTTTTCAAATTTAGATGACACTCTAACTGATCCAAACACTAAACGTTTAGGGCCCTATCATACACCCGTGGCGCAGTAGTCTTTTGGTAGTTTCAGCTTGGCGCAAGAGTCGTTTTGAGGCGTTGCGCTACGCTGTTTAAATAGCAAATGCATTAGCGCTCATTTTTGCGCCCATAGGCGTTATGGTCTAAAAAGGAAGGCGTTCTGAGGCAGACCGCTGGCGCGTTGCAATTTTGAGAATCTATAATAGATTTATGATTAGACCAAAACAAACCCGGTCTAAACACCGGCGCAGAGTTGCGCCTCGCTTACGCACTGCTTAATACGCACAAGAGAGCAATAGGCAAATATCTTTACATATGAAAAAATGTCAATATATTAAGGATATATATAGGATATAATAAGAATAGATATAGAATATAAATATAAAGGATTAAAATACTACAAAACATTATTTTCTAGCCTACAAAAATATGAAAAACCACTGCTTTTAGGTTTTCTTCATCTTGGGAGGCTTTTTCAGTTCATTCATAACAATTTGCTTTTGTATAATGTTATTATTATTAGCAGTATTATTTATTATATCCATATTTATGTTTGTTTTATTAAAAACAACCTTAGATTTGCCCACCTGTCAGGTTTTAGACCATATGGGGCACAGCATGTGTTTTAGGATATAACTCAGGTTTTTGAGCACATTTTGCTATTATTATTCATTTATTTGTTTGCTGGAAATTAGAACTGAATTTAAACATAGTTTGGAAACGAATATTTGCGCTTAACAAACAAAATTATTTATTTATAAACTAATTGATGTCTGTGCGTAAAGGTTTCCCTATCCAAGAGCAAAAGTGAAAGTGATCCATTATCTCTCATTTTCACGCAGTAGGTGCTCTGTTTAACAGTTTTCTGTTAAAAAAAACTTAACTGTTTGCTTGTGAAATGCTAATTTTTTTCCACTTAGACTTACTTTGCGTCCTGTAAATAGCGAATGCGCTCTTGGCGCGACGCAGCTGACTCTTAAAAGGAATGGGAGATGAGATTCTAATTGGTTTATTCTCAAAACACACCTATAACTCATTAAGAAAATAAACTCAACCCTTTTAGAACATGCGCCGCGGCGCAAGGCAGATTCCCCGTCCTTAAATTAGCAAAAACGCGTCCTGACACGCCCTAAAAGCGTTTGCGCCCTGCGTTTTGCGGTCTGCGCATGGACCGTCAAAATAGAGCCCTAAACCATGAGTTCTATTCTCTTGAATGAACTCTCATATAAAACCCTTTTGATAAAGAGTTATACAAATAAAGGTAATGCAAGTGAATGTGATTTGACATCTTTGGTTCAGTTGTCTAAAATAAGTAAAAACAATGTGATTCAAATGAGATGAAATGTGTGCCATGATTAAATTATGTTCCAACAATGAAGGTATTGTTTTTGTTTTATAAATGCATGTGTGTATGTTTGGATCACATTGACCGTTGACAAAATGACACAAACTGTGAGGAGACCCATGATTTAATAGTTTACAAAGTTAAAAACAGTATTATGCCCTGTTATTCATAATTTAATTTACGCACAATTTGTTATATCATTATAAAGATAACCATGTTTATATGAACACTATAAATGAGGAGGACTTCTCTCCTCCTCAATCTCCAGGTCTGAATGCAGACAAAGTGGATAGCAGTGCAGCAGGTCTCCTGCCCTATCTATTGACAAACATAGGCGAACAAAACGATATAGGCAATGTGTCTGAATGGTAACAAACTCAACTGATAAAAGACAAAGTCCGCCATTTTCCAATTCTCGTAAAGCTCTCCTGACAAAAATACTTTCTGCAAATCACTAGCTTTGCTGCATCGGCGCTGGCAGCATTGTGCAAAAAAACATGCATTAAACCCCATGGATCAAGGATACAAACACATAAAACCCTACATGTATGGCTAAATACTGCATGCCATGCGCAGACACAGTCTCACAGTAAAGCATGTGCAGTCATGAATAATTAAAAAAGCAGGGTCTTCTCATAGTATAAGAAAACTCTGTTATGAATAATAATGAGAAACCGACATGTCATCTGGACAGGCAGATCGGTGCTACGTCACCGATTTTGATCCCACCCCAAAAAATAATTTTATACCCGGACAATGAAATTACCTGACAAAATCTCAAAAGTATCCAGTTTTTCTCACAATTAAAGCTGACAGGGGCAAATGTTGTCTTGACTGATGCTCAACACACACAAAGTCTGTACTCACAAAAAAGTACTCAAGGGTTTCTGGAACCGTTACCTTCTGTTTTTGGCACTAAAAGCAGTTTCAGAGTGAGAAAAGCTGTTTTCTGAAATTCACAATGGCACATTGTGCAAACTCCCCCAGACCACTTTGTTTTTACTTGAAACTTGTTAAATCAAAAAGTGTAGAATAGTCTGTACTTTAAGGGCTAATACTGCCAACGATACATTGCCTATTTGATGTGAATTTAATTAGAACTACAAGCAGGGATAAAAAGTGTTAAATTACAGACATGGGGATGAGCAGGACCAACAGTCAAGGCTTAGATAAAGATCTTTGAATGACTGTTGAACAATATCTAACCTCATGGACAATATTTACACATTACAAAATTTTGTTTTCCGTGTTATATTCCATATTAAAAAGCAATGAGAAGATTTATAAAGAAGTGTTTAGACATTAACTTCTAAATGCATAAATATGCAAAGATCTGAGGAGTCTTCTATGTATGTAAGACTTGTGAATTGCAGATTAACCTACTGCATTAATCTCATACGAAAGGTCATTAAATATGAATGAACTGTGCGTGATGTGGTGAGAAGATTGACAGAGCATGTAACTAAGCAACATAACGATCTATTAATGAGGAAGTATCCACCAAGCAATTTTATGTTTAATTGAGGTCTAAACATAGACGGCTTGGCTAAAACAAGGCTAATTTTGAGCTGTCAAGCATCTATACTGTACATCTAATGGCAGGTCAAAACAAGACTAGTCATGAAATACAGACAAAAGACAAAATACAGATTTCACTTGTGTAGTCATTCATTCATGTGTACTTGATGGCTAGTCTAGTTTTGGTTATTTGTAGACGTCTATAAGATTTTTACTGACAGCCCAAATTTAGCCTTGTTTTAGTCAAGCGGTCTATGTCTATTAGACATCTATTAGACTTCTTTTAAACACACAAAATATTTGCTGGGTAGTTTAGTTTATTTGTTTACAGGCGCAATACAATCAATATTACTGTAAAATGTGGCTAGGATGGCAACCTGAACAAAATAATTGTCGCCTATCCATGTTTTAGGATTGACAAACAATAACTTAACTTCTGGTTATTCGTTTGGTATCAGAAGTGGGTTAGAAGAAAGGCAAAGATCTCTAGATTGTGCCTATTTTATTTGTTCATTCATTAATTTTCTTTTCAGTTTAGTCCCTTTATTAATTTGGGGTCGCCACCACAGCATAATGAAGGCTCGAACCAGCAACCTTCTTGCTGTGAGGTGACAGCACTACCTACTGCGCCATCACGTCAACCTCCGCTTATTTTACCAAAATAAAATATGATCATGTCTTGATGTTTGATTATTTAATTAGGACTGTAAGGTCTGACCTTGCTTCGACAAAAGTCTTGTCACTTAACAAAAATAATGTATAGTATAGAATATAAAGTCATGGTGCAGTGGGAAAAGAATTAATTTTGAGTATGACTTCCATGAGCTTGGAGGACTGCATCCATACATCGCTGCAATGACTCAAATGGCAAAAAAAAGCATTCTCGCAGAACTACCAGAGTTCACCAAGATTCTTTGGATTCATCCTCAATGCCTCCTCTTCCATCTTACCCCATTCTTGCTCAATAATGTTCATGTCTGGTGACTGGGCTAGCTAATCCTGGAGCTCCTTGGCCTTCTTTGCTTTCAGGGACTTTGATGTGGAGGCAGAAGTATAAGAAGGTGAGCTATCTGGCTGAAAAATATGTCCTCTTCTGTAGTTCGTAATGTATGGGGCAGCACAAACGTTTTGATATCTCTGGCTGTTGATGTTCCCATCCACTCTGCAGATCTCTTGCACAATTCATACTGAATGTAACCCCAAACAATGATTTTTTTCTTCACCAAACTTTTTTTGTGAGAATCTTGGGTCTATGCAGGCTACGATAGGACTTCTGTAGTATTTGTGATGATCGGGAAGCAGTTCAACACATGATTCATGTGAAATATCTACCTTCTGCCACATTTCCAAATGAGCAACTAGGAGTCAAGTTATTATTTGTTGCTCTTAAAATTGGGATCGACGACAAGACTTTTGTTAGGTATGTGTATATATATATATATATATATATATATATATATATATATATATATATATATATATATATATATATATATATATATATATATATATTATAATATATATATATTATTAGGACACAGTGTTACACTAAACATAGCCCTGATCTATAAATAAAACAATCCCCTCTGTGAGGTGTGAACAAACATCCTGTCTGGTGTAAAACAAAGCAAAAAGTGCTCACCATATGACCAGGCCAGTGATCACAGCTGCCCACGTGACGCAGCAGGTGTCAGGTCTCTTGACTTCCTCATCCTCTTCCCTCCGACAGCAGCACAGGCAGGTCAGATAAACCGACAGAAGCAGGAGACACAAACCCAGAGCCACCGCAGAAACACAGGCCAGGAAGACCAGAGACTGCAGATCGGCAAAAAAATAAACAAATAAATAAATATATACGATTTTCTGACTCTAGCCATGATGCAGTACAAGGAGCTCAAAATGGACTCGAAATAGCATTTTTAAAAGGCTTAGTTTACAAAATTTTTTTGAATTAGGTTATTGATTACTTTTTAATTCAATTCTGAGACCTCCATTTGTCTTCAAAATACAAATTAAGATTTTTATTTTTATTATTATTAATATTATATTTTTTTTATTTTATCTTTCTTAATTGACAACAAGGTTCTCGATTCATTCAAAGTCCATAATAATATCTATCTAAAAGCACCTACAAAACTGTCCATAAGCCTTAGGGCTGCACAATATATAGTTTCAGCATCGATATTGCAATGTGATTATTCGCAATAGTCACATCTTGAGCACACACAATGTTGAGTCTGGACTTTAATTTATAATTTCGCATGTGCTTTTGGAGACCTGTGACCATGTGAGGGTTTTAAGAGCATTCATGCCTCAGAAACTGGACAATTTTTAACTTTGACAAATTAATAACAATTTAATCGTTTATAAAACGAAGATTGTGCAGTATTATTTTTCATTAGATTTTTCAATTTCTGTATACCTAAATACAGTTTGACTAATCAGAAAACAATCAACTGCTGTTTATTTAATTGGTATCATTTTTTCTTAATTGAATTTATCTACACTTGTAGATTGTTTCTTTTTTTTTTTTTACTGTTCTTCCCGTCAGAATCATCAGAAATCAATTCATCTAAATTAATCTAGTGAAATTGTATTCATATTGCAACATATATATCTGTGAATAAAAAATAATGCAATGTTAGATTTTTCTACTTCTGTGGTTTAAATGGAATATTATCAAGCTATGAGAATACATTTGTGGGCATTTAAAACTGAAATAATACAGTATTTTTAACAGTTTCCTTAGAGTCAGTATATTGCACTTGTTCACAACCACTGTGCACTGATGTTAGACATTTGCCAAATATTAAATAATTGAATACATTGTGATAATAAACATAGCGAATATAGATGTTGTGGGCACTTCAAAATATTGTAAATTATTATTTGTTATTTAATCTTTTAGTGTGGTAGTATATAGTATATATTGGTATATAGTATATATTGTATTTTTTTTAATTGTATATATATATATATATATATATATATATATATATATATATATATATATATATATATATTGATCGATACTAATAACCAATATCTATTTACATTTGGAGGCAGATAGCTGATATATTAGCAGATATATATATACATATACATATATATATTTAACACTTTTTAACATTTTTAACAAAAATAAACAAATATTTTTTTTGTTTGTGCCATCCACTATTCAGCTGTGCGGGTGAATGATTTGTTTTCAGTGGAAAACAAGGACTGTAATTGTTGTATCACAAACCTCTGCCATATATTTGCTATTTTTTTTTTTTTTTTATATGTCATAATTTTGAGGATTATGTCTTGAGCATCTGTTTTTTTTCCTTTTAAATGAGGTTTAAATGAGGGATTGTTTAATAAGCAACCCATGCCTGGAAAATACTCCTTTAGATTTAAAAGAAAATACCTTAATATTAAAAATAAAATATACATTTGATTCTATCAATGTCATAGATGTCAGCAAGTCTTTATTGATTTTGACATACAGTAAGATTAAAAAAAACATTAAAATTAAGATTTCAAGTCACATGTGACTGCTTTGGAAATTAATACATGTCGCAGACGTCACGGTATAACTGATCATCAATGAACGTGCAGTCATGCACATTTGTTAACAACAAAAAGTCAAAATTTTATCAAGATAAAAATCGCATGATCTGACCTAGTGACTTTCATACCCACCAATAAAAAATATGTGATCTGATGGGGGCTTAAATGATGTATAAATCAGAACCAGCATGATTCTGAAGATGAAATAAAGAGTCTCAGGGGATTAGAACTACATGAGGGTGAGTAAATAATCATATTATTTTTAATCTGGGTGAACAAACCCTCTAATCATGTAACTTTTATATTAAAGTTTAAGAAACTTGTAGTATTTCAAGTGTGTAGTGTTTCTTACAAATGGCATGAAACACTGGTGTAGCATCAATAATACAGGATTTTTAGTTATTTGCATATCTGTGTAACATTAGTGGGTGTGCGTATGGCTACAGTTCCATAACACTACGCTCAATTATTTCAGTTATTTTAGAGCAAAAAAAAAAAAAAAACTGGATAAGATATTAAGAAATTAAAAACATAAGTTTTAAAGAAAGGAACCTGACATTTGTCTGAAACAGAACATTGAAACAATGTCTTGGTAACTAGGGTTTTCAATAGCCATATTAAGTAAAGTAATTTACTCAATGATTCACTCAATGGTCCATTGAATTGTTGAAAAGAAAAGTGCACTGAGTCATTCAGCTACACATTGCATCACCATCCTCTAGTCTGCGTTATAATAACTCAATGGCCTGTCATTAATTATGTCATGTATAATATTGGAAAAGTTTGAACCAATTTTTAAGCTGACATTATAAAGAGTAAAAGAGGGCAAAGCATTTCTAAGGAGTGTAACAGCACTGAAACTCCATTTAAAAGGGCTGTTGACACAAATGCTTCACATTTACTTTGAATGAAATGATGTCAAGCGTTATTACAATGAAATGTGGTTCCACCGAGTAGCACTGGGTCAGCTGCTCATGGTGGAATTTGACAAACCTTTTCAATCAGATTGCTTTATGGCAATATACCAGTGCGAATGCTAGCCAATCCCATACAAGCAATAGCAGAGAATAGGGCTGCACGATTCTGGCAAAATTGTGAATCATATATATATATATATATATATTATTATTATTATTATTATTATTATTATTATTATTATTATTATTATTTATTTATTTATTTATTTTTGCCTAAAATCAAGATCACGAACGGTCTACTGTTGCTTAAAATGCTAAATTTTGTATAGTCATTATGGTGGACTTGAACAGACTTTCAATATGTCCTGTTTGTTAACTCACAGTAAAATGATGACATCATAATATAACTATTCATATTTCTAAAGTTGATTTATTATGTTTCAGACATGTGCTTGTCATCTGCCATCAACAACATTATTAGACCATTTGTTTTCACTGGTAAAATTAGAATTTTGTCATTATTAAATTCCTTCTTGCATCATATTCAACATGATGCATTGGCTAGGGTAGTTATACAGACACAGTAAAATTGTATTTTCATGCACAACACTATGTGTTTACTATGAAAGAAAAAAAAAACTTATCTAATGCTTTTCGTAATTTTAACTGTAAAATGTGACATGATCATTTAAATGATGTGTGCACAGGTTTCACTTTCACTTCCAAGTGCAGCTCATGGCTGCTGTCACTGTGAAAAAAACGAGAGGGTGCTCGCTGCAGAGCCATTTGAGGAGAGCTGAGCTCCAGCGAGGGGGAGCATGAGCTGTCGCTCCTCCTCCTGTAAGCTGTTTTAATGCGTACACCAACCCCACCCCTAACCCTACCCCCAGTGACATCACTCGTAGAAGAAGTGCAAAAAAGGTGGAGCTCAAGCTTAAGCTCCCCCTCGCTGGAGCTCAGCTCTCCTCAAATGGCTCTGCAGCGAGCACCACTTGAAAAAGACACATACATGCAAATCAAACCTACTGCACTTTTAACACCATTTTAAGGTCAATAGAGGGCGAAGCTGTGGCGCAGTAGGTAGTGCTGTCGCCTCACAGCAAAAAGGTCACTGATTCGAACCTCGACTAAGTTGGCGTTTCTGCATGGAGTTTGCATGTTCTCCCAGCATTCGCGTGGGTTTTCTCCGGGTGCTCTGTTTCCCCCACAGTCCAAAGACATGCGGTAGAGGTGAATTGGGTAGGCTAAATTGTCCGTAGTGAGTGTGTGAATGTGGGTGTGGATGTTTCCCAGAGATGGGTTGCAGCTGGAAGGGCATCCGCTGCTTAAAAACTTGCTGGATAAATTGGCGGTTCATTCCACTGTGGCAACCCCAGATTAACAAAGGGACTAAGCCGACAAGAAAATGAAATGAAAGGTGTCAATAGCTATGTTTCCATCCACCTATTTTTATGCGCATTTTGCATATACGCATAAAAAAAACTATTGATTTAAACACCATGATGCACATTAATTTTAAAAATGTCCATAAAAAACTTATGTGCATAACTGAGTAGACTAAACTTTTTATTCGATAAAAAAAGATGTGCAAAAACTACGATGGAAACACTTCTACCGCACAAATTTCAGAATGCGCATTGAAAAAGGTCATGTGATGATGAAAATGTGTGTGAATGGACAAACCAGCAGGCTGAGCACACTGTAAACCATCTGAACTGTTGTTTTGGTCATTCTAAATGACTTACAGTTTAAATATTAGTGTTATTATATTATTACATGATCCATGTGATCCAGAATCAAGAGAGTCTGTGCTCTGCGTCTGACACCTTCACCAAATGTCACAGCGCGTTCACTGCGTGTCAGGATTGCCTTCTGAGGTGCAAGTCATTTAATACATGAAGATAATACTCACGCAGCTTCTCTTACTGCAGCAAATTCCGTTTTTACAGTTGATATTTGGCGCCACTTAATTAGGAAGTGACGATTTTGTTTGCTTTGACTCGTTGGATGAAAACGCTGCTTTATTCGCACATCTTTTATGCGATAATCCAGTTTTGTGCAGAAAGTTAATTTACATTTATTAGGATGAAAACATAGCGAATGTTGCTGTGAAGACTTGTGCGACTGCCTTGCTTCTCTCCTAACCTTGAAAATATATTTGGCTGAAACGTAGAAAAGCTTAATTATGATCGTGTGTAGGGTCGAGTAGAGATTGTGATCTTTTTTCGATTAAACGTGCAGCCCTACCAGAGAATAATGGTCCATAATGACATTGAGTGAATGCTTTAGGCACGTAAACATGTACAATAAATAGTTTTAAAAATTATGTAAAACTTAAAATTATCA